ACGGATAGCTGGGAACACGCTCCGCACAGACACAACAGCAGCAGGGGGTGGAAAAAGTTCAAAACAACCCTTTGAATTCCAATTTTCCAGCATAATGCCGAGGTTGGAGATAGATAGCTGTGCCCTTTTGAAGGAACAAGCACCGAGACAGAAAACGAATTAAAATTTAATCTTATTGATTTCCACCAACTCAATCCCAAGAGCGAGACAGACGCTGCTGCCGGCTTCCACTGCCTGCACTGCATCAAACCCAGTTTTACAGAGGGCTGACAGCACAGCAGGGATGGGCTGGCGTGGCTGTAAGCATGCAGGGGTGATGCAGGGGGACCCGGAGCAGCCCTCGTCACGCTGCGGTGGGTCACAGCACACAGCGTGCCCTCCCTGGAATGATGGTGGAGGGTGAAGTCACACCGTGTCCTGACGTGACCTTATCCCGCTCCTCTAAATGAGCTCAGTGTTTCAGAGGAAGGCTGACGTGCTCTTGTTCGCAGGGACAGGTCTGACACAAGGATGAAGGCTGCTTTTCATCTCCTGGTCCCTGAGTGGGAATCCTGCCTGGCTCTGATGCACAGCAGGTCTGCAGAGAGCCTTCAATCACCCGGATCTGGAGCTGAAGATGGTACATGCAGGCTCCACGTTGTCACAGTGGTCAGAGAGAAGGCACCAGAGTGTCTGCATGTACATGTACATGGCAGCTGATGGTGGCTTTGGGCACACAGAGGACTTGAAGGAGAATTCACCCAGCCGAGTCAAGGTGGGCTGCTGGCACAGCCAAGGATGCCGCAGTGCAGCTTCCTCCAGGACACGCTGACAAGGAGAGGCCAGCCAGCCCAGCATCCCAGGAAAGGCATGGAAAGGGATTCGGAGCAACAGGAATGCTGCCCTCCTCCCCGTACTTAGCAAGAGACCTGGAAATTTCCATTTTAAGCACAAAACCATCTTCAAGCCCAGGTATGCTCAATCAAGTTCAAGAGAGGACGGATGTAAGGAATCCCAGAACGGCCCTGGGGAATAAAGCCACGGCTAAAAATATACACAGATGATCTGCCCTGGTTATGAGGAGCTGAGGTGGAAGAAACCTGAATTCTCTCGACACAATAACACATCCCAGAGGGGCAAATTAAAGCCTGCACAGAAGCTGAGCCACACAGATACCTCCTCAGAGGTGCCTGAGCCAGCAGGGATCAGCTTCTCCCCACAGCAGAGATGCTACAGGTCTCTCACATGGTTTCATTTAGATCCCCCCTGCCTGCATCACTGTCAGTCTTTAGAGCATGCAAGACGTCCATCACAACCGCATCTCCCCAGGTAGCTCTGCATCACCATGCCAGCATTCAGAGGGGATGAACCCATCCTGCATCCAAAGCGGTCCTCTCAGCTCCTGTCTGACTGATCTCCGCGACTGCAGCACCCGCCACTGTTTTCAAACATCGTTCTGTCTCTTCAAGGACTAAAAGCACTTTTGAAAATAGGACTGGGATGCTTCTGAAAATGCTACCCACTGTTTTTTTCGCAGTTTAGTCTACGGATAGTACCAAAAATGTTAACTTCCACTCTCATACATGCTGTCAGAAACAGCACAGTTTGCACTCACAGTTGAAATCCTGGCTTGGACACATGTATGTGTGTTTTTATGTGTTATATTACAAACATCTCCCAAAAGGTACTTTTTTGGGGGTGCACAGCTTACCTTTGGAGACCAGACAAAACAGCTCTGGTCAGCACATACCCAGGGCAGAAGGCACCTGGATCTTGCGTATCAACTGCCTCACTATAATCCAAGGCTCCAGTGCAGGTTCCAATCCAATCCAGCCTCACAGTGCAGGATTTCACTGCAGGTTCTCTCTGCTCTTCCCCAGCACAATCTGTACAGGCACCTTTCTTCTCCCAGAAATCAATTACTTGTCCAGCAGTGTAGCAGGAGGGGATTACAGGTCACGTTTTCCACAGTTATCCTCTCCAACGCCAAGGAACTTTTCGCATCGTAGGCATTAAGTAGGTCACAAGAGGGAAAAGCAGCATGATGGGCACTTAGCATCAGTGAATCTGAACCTAGGAGAAAATGGGATCCAGGCCGGCACCAACCCGCATCCCAACCCCTCATCCCTCCGCAGCACAGCGGTGAGAGGAATGTATAGACTTCCTTCCCAATGAGCCATAAGCTAAAATTAGAAGCCATTCACCCCTGCACAGCCACCGTTATCCCAAAGGAAAGTAGGTCACAGCATGGCTGGCTAACTCGATTTTCCGGCGTTCCGAGCTGCTCTGTCCTCACGTTACCTCTCCTCTCCCAGGGCCTGTTTTTGGCGTCTCCTTTGTTCGGGGTATAACTGCACACAGTGTGCGGCTCCGGCACAGCCTGGCAGGAGCGGTGGGAACGGGCACGGCAGCACCCGCGTGCTCGGGGAAGCACAGACCCGTGGTTCATGAGGAATTCAACCAGAGCCAGGCGACAGCCCCTCCATGAAGTGCATCACCACCTCCCACCTGCTCCGGGACTGCCACAAGGGCTGGCTGCCTGCCCCTTGCACAGCAGTGCTCTTCAGATATCACCTCAGGCTCTGCCAGCTCTTCTGCGGTGCTCCTTCTCGAGGCCTGAATATCCACTTTCCATTTGCATCTCTTAGCATGCTGCCTCCTTCAAGCAAGCCACAAGCTGAGCGAGGCGAGTAAATCAGGATGCTCTTCCCTCTGTGTGCAGGCTGGAGCCATCATAGCCAATTTTCCTGCAAGCAGACCTTGAGGCATCCAACTTCGCTGCTCTGCCACAGCACAGAAGAGGCCAAAAGGCTTTAAATTTGGCTCAGGGACCTTCCCCACTCTAGATCAATGTGTCTCTGTCTGGCTCAAGGCCCTTTGCTCCTACCAACTCACCTGGCAATTGTTAAGCTGCAGCAAAGCCGCAGGTCAGCACAAGCATGCCTGGGGCTCTCCCTGTGTCTGACAGATGGCTGGGTACGCCTCAAGCACCTGCTGCCACCAAACCCACCCAAAGCAGTCTGATGTCCAAGCACCAGCCACTCTTTTCCACCCATGATCCTGACACTGCTCCCTCATCTTTTCCTCTGCCAGCTTTCCTCCTCCTGGCCCCAAGGGGGAGAGCAGTCACCACCAAAAGGCATCCCAAACGTGTCCAAGGGAGGTGAGAGGCTCTAAGCTGAGCCTGGGGATGGCCCTTAGAAGGACAATTGCATGCTGGATCCGGCCTTTGCTACTGGAACCACAACAAAGGCAGTGCTGCCAGTAAGGCTCAGCAAACCCTGCCCCTTAGAGCCCACAGCTTGGCATCTCCCTGCTGGGGTGCTTAAAAGGGTCCTACACCACCAAGCCTCAGCCATTACAAGTGGCCACCCAAGGATCTGCTGACTACCCATTCGTTGCCCATGTCTTCTTCAGAGAAAGAACTTCCCTCCAGCCTGCTAGGGTTTCTATCAAGCAGAAGGGAAGGGCTGTTGGGTTTGAGTTCCCTACCCACAGCCAGGCTTGCTTACACGCTACTCGCAAGGGGACCTTACAAGAGCAGGGGAAGAGCCATCATTCACTCATCCCAGGTGAATCCAGACACAAACACAGAGCCGGACTGGAAATTATGCAAACATTTGGTGTCAGATGTGACCTTCCCTCGCTGAGCACCCACCTGGAACAAATGCACCCTGTTGCGAAGGTTAACAGCAAAGTCCTGCTACCAGGCTGGCTTTGAGGGTCAGCACAACTCGGAATGAAATCAGACATGGAGACAAATGATGCCACCAGCTCTGAGCACTGCACATGACAGGTCCCAGCTATTAGGGCACTTCCAAGGAGAAATGCAGAACTCCTTGTAATGTGGTCCAGGTACGCGAGAGTGTCCAAGCAGGACAGGGCCCAAACGAACAGGAATAAAGATGCTTGAGACCTCCTTTTTCTGACCCCAACCCCTTGCACAGGAGGCACAAGCCATCTAGCCCAGGACCCCTGGAGCGGGTACTTGGTGGTGCATGGGGAGAACCCATCACTGCCCCCAAAGCCTACTGTCTGCAAAGCCAGCACTTGCTTCAAACACATCAACCTCTTTACCCCCTCGCACAACAGACCTTGCTGGCATTGGGTCTCCTACTGCTGAGGAAGAGAAGCAGATGGAACAAGGAAAACCAGGAAAATTGCACTGCCGGGGAGCGCAGGGTATGCAATTTTGTTTTCTTTTTAGGAGCTGGGCACCTGGATTTCTGCAGCTCCCAGTGAAATCGCAGGCCTCACAATTCAGAGCAATTAGTGACTGGTAGTTTTCCTTTTATGCAAAATCATCCTTTTTATCCAACACCTAAATGAAAATGAATATGCTTGATTATCTACTAAAGGGCCCAATTTCCTACCATCGCTCCAAAGCACACAGCAAAATTCCTGTCTCCTCAGTCTGCTATTACAGGCAATGGCTGAATGCAACAAATGAGTGGTCAAGGCAGAGCTCCAGAGCCAGGGATGCTGGACTGACCTTTGCTAACACTGTTTACAGCACCAAATATCCACAAATCCAGCCCTGGATGCATCCATGTCCTTTCTGCTCCAGCCGGGGGGGCTCAGGAGCAACCAGGAGACCTTGCAGCTGGCCTGGCAGCATTAGAGCATCATGGATGCCCCTCTCCATCCATGCAGCTCACCCTGCCACAGCAAACCCAATGCTTTGAGGCAGCTTTCCACCAGGTTCACTCCCAGAGGAGAGGGTGGAAGCAGCTATTTAACAGACAGGGCTCTGAAGCATCTCCTGAATGCATCAAATCTAAAGCTGATTACAGGAACCCCCCCCAGGCAGGTTCTTCAGAAGACATTTGTGCTCGAGCCACACAACAGAGCGAGCTCCTCAGCCCTCTGTTGTCACCACCCCCGACCAGGCTCCATCTATCCACCTCCCACAGGGCTCTTGCCCAGGGGAATCCCCCATTTACCCTTTACCAACCTCCCCGTTCCCTGCCCGCTGACACGGCACCATCGCATGTTTGTACTTCCAAGGTTTCCAGACTCACCCTGTTCTCGTCGTAGATGATCTGCACCAAGCTGCGATGTTTGGACTCGATAGGAGGCGGGGAGATGGGTTTTTCAGGCTCTGGTGGTTTGGCTGCTTCTTCCTCCAACTGTTGCTGTGGAAGGAGAAGGGGGAGGAGGAGGGTGAGTCACAGTGAGAAACGCAGCCGGCCCCGTCCACACGCGACTCTCTGCGGTGCCGAGGCAGAAACCGCCATGGCAGGAGGCTTCCTGCGAGACACAGAGGGATGGGGAGAGGGAGGAGAGCTGCCCCATGGCCCCTGCCACGCAGGCGCAGCGCTCCCTGCCCCGGCCACCAGCCCCTGAGCTGCTGGGGCAGTGCCTTTTCAGCATGGAGGATGAGGACCTGCCTTGAACCAGCCTCCTGGGGAGCGCACGATGATTTTACTGCAAACCCTTTAAGGGAACCACAGCTCGGGCCTGGCTCCCTGCTGCTACCTGCCCCTGGAGCTGCTATTGTGCTACAGGGAGCACGGAGCAAAGCTGCTCTCCACCTTCAGCTCTATCTTGTGATGCTGTGGTTGGGAGGAGATGCCCTGGGATGACTGCTCTTGATTAAATGAATTATGCACCGGCTGCACTGGGCAACCAAATGAGCAAGGAACTACAGCAGAGCAGCAGTAACGCCATCAATCCTCACATCCCTGCTCAGAGCTGGTCAGATAGGGCACGTGGCAGCCCTCCTGGCCAAGGTGAGAGATGCAAAGTGCTCAAGAGGGCAAGCAACAGCTACAGGAGCTCCTGCAGAGAGAGCACAGCGCTCAGACATGGGTCGTCAAGGCTAGACAGCACAAGAACTCAGGCTGCAAATGCCCAGAGCCATGAACACACCGTGCAACTCTGGCTGCCCCAACAGGTACAGGGAGAGCTGCAGCATGAGCCACCTTCCAGGCATCAGGCGGAATAAGACTCATTCCTCTCCTCCCTTCATACAGAACATGCTGTCCTCAGCAGAAACCACCAAGTCCAGGCTTCAACTAGATAAAGCCCAGTAGGTGTGGATGGACATCACCCAGGTGACCCACCCTCAAAGACAGCAGTGTTGAGGAGCTTGTTTTGTTGGCTCTTCTGCTTTCTCACTGCCTTCACCGCACTGCCACAGCTCCACATTTCATGGTATTTGCGCTCTGAGGTGCAGCAGCTGCATGCAAACATACACCCCTTCACCTCCATGTGTCTGCCTGTGCTAGGACAACACAACCCAAGGGGTGCCTCATCCTAAGCTTCGCCCCCTGTCACAACAGAAACATCCAGGAGCTGCTCCACAAGCATGACCACCATGTCTCCACCACACATGTAGTAAAAGGCACCCAGCCCCAACCAGATTAAATGCTACCCACCCCCTTGGAAGACAGAAAGCAGAAGGCAGCAAATCCACACAGAATGGTTTGGGTTGGAAAGGGCCTTAAAGCTCATCCAGCTCCAAACCCTGCCACGGGCAGGGACACCTCCCACTAGAGCAGGTTGCTCCAAGCTGCTGTGTTCAACCTGGCCTTGAACACTGCCAGGGATGGGGCAGCCACAGCTCCTCTGGGCACCCTGTGCCAGCGCCTCAGCACCCTCACAGGGAAGAACCTTTTCCTAATGCCTAATCTAAGTGTCCCCTCTTTCAGTTTTACATATACACCTTTGGAGATCACCAATTGTGTAATGGGAGCCTTGCAGCCCATGACAAGCTTTAATGATAAAGGAGCAGACCTAAGAAACAACTCCTGAGCATCGCTGCGGTCTGCAGGTGTATCTGACGTATGACCTGCATCTCCATCTCTCCCGACGGGCACGAGCAGGAGAAGACATCTGAGCCCTCCCGGTAAGCCTGAGGAACTGCTCATCCAGAAGAGGAAATAGAGATTCCTTGTGGCTCGGTGCGAGGAGGGAGCGCGCAGGCTGCGCACGGCAGCTGCGGGGCAGCACAGGCACAGGAGAGGCAGCGGCTCTCAAAACCGCCTCTGGTTTTCTCACTGCTCGCTTCCCAATCTCCAAACCTCTGTGGGTTGTTTTCCCTGCAGTCAAAAGCAGTCCCTGGTGAAGGAAGGAGGGGGAAATCAAGCCTTGTACTAGGAGAAAATGCAGCTGGGACTGAGCGCAATCAGCTTGCACCAGAGGTGAGAAAGGCACCGTGCTACCGGAGACAGCAGTGCCTGGTGGTTCAAGAAGAAGCTCGGTATCTATTCCTCCTTCAGATCATCTCTGCTCCTGCTGACAACACTAGGGATGTGGGATGCGGTCCAAGAGAACACTTAAGCACCAGATAGGTCTACTGGCTTGGCTGAGAAAACTCACACCCCTTAAATGAAATATGTTTCAAAGGATGAAGCACCCCCATGCTGGTCTCTGTCGTGTCCCACCTCCCCACACGTGGACATCTTTTTCCATGCAGGAAAAAGCAGCAGCACAGAGAACAACAAGATACAGCCAAAACCACATCACCACTGCCAGCCAGACTGGGGAGTGGGTTCTGGCACAGGCAGGACAGCCTGGCATCAGCATACCCACCTCTGGGTCTTAACCTCGAGGTTACTCCAGCCATGTGTGGGGATGGCCAGTAAACAGCCAGCTTGGACCATCCACAATCTGGAAAGGGATTAAACTTCCCCATCTCCGCAGGGATCCGTCCCTTCCTGCCCACAAAGAGCCACACCACCGCAGCACATCAAAGGCTACAACCAAGCCCCTAAGCTCCCTTCTCTTCTCCCTCATGGCTGTTTCTCAGGTGGCCCAAATCACAGTGATGTGCAAAGGGGACAAGAGCTCTTTGGGAAGCCAGGGCTGAAACCACAGGCTCCAAAGCAGGCCTCAGCATTAGCCCCAGCGCAGAAGCAGCGCTTCCAGGCATTTGCCTGCTCTTGCTTAGTGTCCTAAAGCATCCTCATCACACAGCCTTGCTCGCACATGACAGAACTCCAACGACAGAGCCACCAAAAGGGATCTGTCAAATCCTCTGCTTCCCTTGGGGGAAATATTTGGGTAAAAAAAAGACTATGTCAGAATCTTGGCTACGCTGTTCTGAAACCCACAAAAATCCTGCGAAGCGGTCGGTGTGTTGTAAGTGATTTCAGACAAGAGGGGTTGACGGCGTATCAGGAAATGAAAGTTTGCCAGTAAGTGGAGGCTCATTAAAAGCAGCTCGTTGAAAGAAAAAATACAAATCTAATTATAGCTGAAATACAGTAGAGAATTAAACTCCACTCTCTGTGGTGTAACACTGTGCCGTTATTATAGGAGGGATGCTAGAGGGAAGGATGCAGGCAGGGGCTACAGGCAGCACACCTGACCGCAGCAGGTTCAGCCCATGACAGCTATCCCTGGCAGCTGTGGGAAATGGCAAAGGAAGATAGGTCAGGGTTCCCAGACACGGAAAAAATGGGTTTCTTAAAGGTCTGCCACAAGAGCTAGGCTGGGACTGTGACCTTTATAGGAGAGAAGCAGGATGAGAGATGAGTCTTGACGGCTCCACACTCTCTCCCTCCCCACTCCCAGCAGTAGCTGCCCACGAGCCTCCTGCTCTTCCCAAATGAAAGACAGCACAGCAATGCTGAAGGGATGCAAGATGCCATCATTAGCCATAGCCCTGGCTCCTACAGCATCCAAAAGCCAACCCTTCTCCAAGTGGAGGAGGTGCCCTCTCCCGATAAGAGTCCCTTTGGCTGGACCACACACTACAGAAGGGCCAGGAGATCCTGCAGTGCTGGCAAGCGGTGGGTGGCATTGCAGGAAGACCCTGTGCCCACAGGTACCAACTCCTGTGCCGAAGGGACCTGCATGATGAAGCCAAGGTCATTAAACACATACCCCCCAAGTTACCACACTGCCTCATCTGGTACCTGGGTACCAGGATGCTTCACCTGCCCAGAGGAGAGGGCTTCCAGACACAGGGCATCTCCGAAACCCCCTTGCAAAGAGCCAAGGGGAAAACAGAGGAAACTCAGCCTTGAGACAGATGGAAGGAGACACCCTGGAGCTCTTCCACCCATGCGGCTCCACCTCCATCACCAGGTGGGAGTGTTGTGCTCCTGGAGAGCCCTGTGCTGAGCTCGGCGCCCAGGGAGGCTGAGGCACCACTGCAGAGAACAGCCCAGCAGTTCATTTCTCCTTCAGATCCCCGGTACCGCTGCCAGGAATAAATGCATAAGGATTATCCTTCCCTGTCAGGAAGAGAGGGAGAAAGGACTCAGCAAGAGATTTAAGCGCATATGGTGCATGAATGAGTGGGGGATGGCTGGTGGAGGTGGCCTTCTGCCAGAGGTGCACAGGGCTTGGGGAAGGTTTCTCAACTTGCTGGAGACGTTTGCTTCTTGCAAAGTCCAGGCAGAGCCTTCCCTGCCATGTCTGGAACAAGCAGAAAGAGAGAAATGGTGGTTTGGGGCTGGCTGGGATTTATATTTTTCCATACAAATGTATTTAATTACCCTGAGAAGGCCTCCCAGAGACAGAGGGGAAAAGCATTAGGATATTCTGGCTGCGTACGATACCTCCCCTGCTCCTGCAGGAGCAGTCTCTGCTCCAGGATGATTGCTTTCCCTCGCTCGTCCTTCTCCTGCACTGACAGCTCAGATGCACAGATGGACAAAACGTTCCCGGAGCATCTCAGGAACACGCACTTCCCCCCCAAAATGCTTCTTCCCAGATGTGCCAGCCCTGGGCTGGGGAAAGATTCTGACAGAGGGGAGAGGAACCCATGCTGGAGGGGTGGGATCTGCTACCAAACGACTTTGCCACCATGTGCCAAAAAGAGGGAGGGGATGCTTTTCCTGCCAACAGCCACTTTCACCTCCTTCCCCACTCAGCAGAGCATTTTTGTGGGGAGGAAGTACCATAAAATTCGCTCAGAAGGAAGAAATAAAGCAACCAAAGCAGCCAACAATAAAAACCCCATTTCCTTACGGAAGGACAGCTTCAATTTAACAACAAGGAGCATATGCTGCTCCCGTCAGCATCAACAGCAGCTCCTTAGCATCTCTGGAGTCAGGCAGGGGATCGGCAGAGCTGTCAGTCCTCCCAGCTGCCATGAGAGGGACCTTCACTGCTGCTCCAGGAGCATATCCCACTCTGGAAGCGCTTCTCCACAGTGGGAAATGACCATGGTTTGCACCTC